ACGCGCTCGCGACGCTCGTCGAGAAGCTGCGCAACGAGTCGACGCGCCTGCCGGCGCTGCGCGCGTTGCGCGAGGCGGCGGAGGCGACGGGCCGCGTCGACGCCTACCCGGCGCTCCGCGAGTGCCTCCAGGACCTCGTCGGCTTTTTAGGGCAGGCGTCGCGGCCGCTCAAGCAGGCCTGCCTCGAGACGCTGCGGGCGCTGCTGGCCAACGCCGCCGTGCACCAGCCCGCGGCCGTCGAGGGCTTCGACGTCGCGACCGTGCTCAAGGGCGCCAACGACGTCGTGAGCGACGACGACCTGCACCTCGCGCACCTCGCGATCGAGGTCGACGTCGCCGCGGTCTCCGCGTTCGCGAAAGGCGACGCGACGGTCAAGACGGCCTGCGAGGAGACGGCCCTCGCGTCGGCGCTGGCCCTGGCCTGCTCGCCCCTGCTCCAGGGCGTCTGCCTCGCGTCGCTCGCGGGCCTCTTCGAGACCCTCGCGCGCGACGTCGGCGGCGCGAAGCTCGGGTTCCCGGCGCTCTTCGCGGCGCTGGGCGCCGCGGCCCAGCGGCCCCGGGCGACGGCCGACGGCGCCAAGCGCCAGCCGCGCCAGGCGCTGGCGAACGTGGCCTGCGTCCTCGCGTCGCTCTGCGCGGCCGCGGCGCCGCCGGACCGCGCGCGCGCCGTCGCCGAACTCGTCGGCCGCGTCGACGCGGGCGGCGGCGACGACGCGGCCTGGGCGGCGACGCACGTGGCCACCAAGTGCCTCGGCGAGCTCGGCCGCCGCGTGGACCTGTCGACCTACGCGCCGGCGCCCTTCGGCGCGCTCGTGCGCGCGCTCGACGGCGACGGCGAGGACGAGCACAAGACGGCGGCCGCGGCCGCGCTGGGCTTGGTGACGGCCGGCGGCGCCGGCGCCCACCTCGCGCCCCTGCTCGACTCGCTCGACGCGGACCCCTGCGACAAGGAGTATTTGCTGTTGGCGGCGCTGCGGGAGGTCGTGCTCCACGCGGGCGCGGCGTTCGACGACTCCACGTCGGACCGCGTGCTCGCGCGGCTCGCGCGGTCCGCGGCCGTCGACGAGGAGCCGACGCGGAACATGGTCGCCGAGTGCGCCGGCGCTTTGGCGTTAGTGCGCCCGGCCACGGTCTGCGAGGCCTTCCTCGACGCGGGGCTCGCGCGCTCCAGCGCGGACGAGGCCGACGCGCGCGCGCGGTGGACGGCGTGCGCGGCGCTCAAGGCCGCCGTGTCCGGCGACCTGCAGGCCGGGGACCGGGCGGCGCCGGCGGCCTTCCGGGCCGCCGTCGCGCCGCGCCTCGGCGCCGCGCTCGCGCTCCTCGACGACGACGACCTCGACGTGCGGAAGCAGTGCTTGGTCATGGCCAACGCGGCCGCGCACCACCACCCGGGCCTCGTCGCGCCGCGTTTGGACTTCGTCGTGCCGCGCCTCGCGACGCTCGCGGCCCTCGTGCTCAAGCGCGTCGTCGACCTCGGGCCCTTCAAGCACACGGTGGACGACGGCCTCCCGCTCCGCAAGGCCGCGCTCACCGTCGTGGGAACGCTCGTCGACACGAAGCACACGGACGCCAAGGCGTTCGTGCCCGTCGTCGCCGCCGCGTTGGGCGACAAGAGCGAGGACGTGGCCATGATGGCCCACATGCTCCTCGCGAAGCTCTGCGCCGCGGAGCCCGCGGAGTGCGACGCGCACGCCAGGGCAGCACAAGAGAGCGAAATTCCCAACTTCAAAGGCTCCGATCTCGGCCATTTTCCACTCGTTTCGGCTGATTTTTGGACGAGCGATCATCTCTCGGAACGGTCTCGAAGCGTCGATGTGTTTTCCGTAACGCGCGCGCGCGGAACACTCACGTTGAAGCGACGTTGAATCTCTCTTTTCCTGCCCAGGCGCACGCGGACGCGATCCTCGAGCCGCTCGAGAAGACGGTCCACAAGAAGATCAAGGAGGGCAAGGCCGCCACGGAGCAGGACCGCGCCTACGACCTCGTCCGCTCCGGCCTCAAGGCCGCCCTCGCCATGGCGTCGATCCCGTCCTGCGCCAAGGCCGCCGCCTTCGTCGACAAGGCCAAGACGAAGGAGAAGCTCGCCGCGGAGATCGCCAAGATCGTCAAGGGCGACTCCTAGGGTAGTAGAAGAGGCGGCGCTCCCTATAACACATCCCCCCCCTCTAGTCTCCCGACCAAAAGCCCCGCCGCGCGGGCCCGAGGAGCGCGGCGAGCGCGGCGGTCGGCGCGGCGTATCGCTCGTCGAGCCGCCGCCGCGTCGCCGCGAGCATGGGCGCCGCGCGGGTCGCGCGCGACGGCCGGAAGGGCGCCCCCGGCGGCGCGGCGCCGGCGCCGACGACGGCGGCGAGCACCGCCGCCGGGTCGCGGCGGAGCGCGCCCGCGTCGACGACGGCCGCGGCGGGCCAGCGCGCGAGGACGGCGCGGACGTGGACCGCGTAGTCGCCCGCCGCGACCTCGCCCCACTCGCCGCCGCCGGGCGGCGCGGCGTCGAGGAAGCGCGCGAAGTCCGCCGGCGCGCACCAGGGCGCGCCGAGGGGCGTCCGGGCGCCGCGGGGCACGAGCCAGCCGGGGTTCGCGGCGCGGCGGCGGCGCGACGCGTGGAGCACCGACAGTTTGTCCTTGAGGCCCCGGGCCGCGTAGCAGACCGCGGCGGCGACGAGCGTGCCGTCGGGGAGCACGTCGCCGCGGACGACGGCGCCGCGCGGGAGCGCCGTGCCGTTGCGCGGGCCCGTGGACCGCCGCGCGCCGCGCGGCGCCGCGGCGACGCGGCCCGCGGCGCAGTGGTGCTGGAACTCGGAGTAGAGCCGCGCGCCGGGCTCGCGGAGCACGGCGACGACGCGCAGGGCCGGCCCGAGCACGGCGAACATGGCCGCGAGGCCGCCGGGGCTCGTCAGGTACTGCGCGGTCTTCTCGAAGACGAGCTCGTCGCGCCTCCGCCTCGGAAACCGCGCCGCGTACGCGGGCCAGGCCTTGGCGAGCTTCCGCGGCGACGCGAAGGGGTCGCTGAAGTAGTGCACCTCGCGGCCGTCGGCGTTGCGCGCGTAGCGCGGCTGCTTCGACAGCAAGTCGCAGAGCGCCGACGTGCCGGCGCGCATGGCGCCGACGATGACGAGCGACGGCAGGCAGTACGTCCGCGTTGGCCGCAGCGGCGACGTCCGCAGCGCGGTGCAGGCGCCGGCCCGCGGCACGAAGCTCGCGTTGAGCACGCGCATGTGTTGGGAGCTACGGATGAGAGCTACGCCTTGTGGCCTGAGGGCTGCCCATGCGCGCCGCATCACCATGTGCACACTTGGTGCACGTTGTTGTGCTCTGACGGCCTCTCTCGCCACAAGCGGTGGCCGTGCTCGACGTCGACAGCGGTGCTCGCGACGTCGACTGCGCGCGGCCCGTCGGTCGCTTCGGAGCCGCGAGACCCGCGCACTCACTCACCGCCGAGCCCGCGACGATGGCGACGGACTTGACACTCGAGTTCAAGCGCATCTGCGCGTCCATGCCGCAGCCGGAGGCCCGCGCCGCGTCGCCGCCGCCGGCGCGGACGCCGCCCTACGTGCGGGCCTTCACGGCGGCCTGCGACGACGTCGGCGCGCTCACGGCGCGGACGCGCGCGAGCCTCGCGGAGCTCGGCGACCTCGTGCGCCGGTCGTCGATCTTCCAGGATCCGGCGGAGCGCATCGCGCACCTCATGCAGCAGACGAGCGACCACCTCTCGCGCGCGCTCGGCGCGCTCCGCGCGGCGAAGCGGGCGCACCTCGACCCGCACCGGTCGCCGCGGCCGCCCCTGTGCTTCGCGCACTGCGCGTCGATCGAGGCCGCTTTGTCGGCGGAGCTCGAGGCGCTCGGCCGCGACTTCAAGGCCGTCATGCGCGAGCGGTCCGACGCCGTGAAGAAGCAGGCCGAGCGGCGCGAGCTCTTCGGCAAGCGCCGCGACGACGAGGCGCAGCGGCCCCAGCGGCAGCGCGTGCCCGTCTTCGACGCGGCGCCGGCCCTGCCGCGGCCCGACGGCACGGTGTCGTCCGGCGGCGGCGTCTCCGGCGTCGGCGCGGCGCAGCAGCAGCAGCAGCAGCTGATCCCCGACGACCAGTACGCCGTGCGCCGCGCCGACGCGTCGCAGCAGATCGAGGCGCAGGTCGCGGAGATCTCGTCGATCTTCGGCCGCGTGTCGCAGCTCATCAAGGACCAGAACGAGTCCGTCGAGCGCATCGAGTTCAACGTCGAGGCCGCGGACGCGGACGTCGAGTCCGCCCAGGAGGCGCTCCTCGCGAAGCTCGGCGCGATGTCGTCGAACACGGCGACGGCGCTCAAGGTCGGCGGCATCGTCTGCGCGACGCTCGTGGCCTACATCCTCATCATCTAGTAACGGCGGTGCGAGGATTTAGTGGGGCTCGCGGCGCGCGGAGCGGCCTAGGGCTTGGAGTACTCCGCCTTGGACTCGAGCTTCTTGACCTCCGCGATCTTGCGCGCGGCCTTCATGAAGTCCTCCTCGAGGACGTAGTCGCGGTCCGCGCGGATGGCGAAGAGGCCCGCCTCGGTGCAGACGTTGCGCAGGTCCGCGCCGTTGAAGCCGTCCGCGAGCTTGCAGACGCTCTCGTAGTCGATCTCGCCGCGCTTCGTGATGGGCCCCGCGTGGATCTTGAGGATGTCGAGGCGCGCGGCCTCGTTGGGCAGCGGGATCTCGATCTTGCGGTCCAGCCGCCCCGGCCGCAGCAGCGCCGGGTCGAGGATGTCGGGCCGGTTCGTCGCCATGACCATCTTCACCTGGCCGAGCTGCTCGAAGCCGTCGAGCTGGTTCAGCAGCTCCATGAGCGTGCGCTGGATCTCGCGGTCCGCCGACGTGCCCTCGCTGAAGCGCGACCCGCCGATGGCGTCGACCTCGTCCATGAAGATGACGCAGGGCTGGTGGTCCTTGGCGAAGCCGAACATCTCGCGGATGACGCGCGCGGACTCGCCGATGTACTTGTCGACGATGGCGGACGCGACGACCTTGAGGAAGGTCGCGTTGATGTTCGAGGCGAGGGCCCGCGCCAGGAGCGTCTTGCCCGTGCCCGGCGGGCCGTAGAGCAGCACGCCCTTGGGCGCCTTGATGCCGACGCGGACGAAGAGCTCGGGGTTCGTCAGCGGCAGCTCGATGACCTCGCGCAGCTCGCGCACCTGCTCGCCCAGACCGCCGATCTCCCCGAAGGAGATGCCGCCGGGGTCCTCGTTGAGCATGTGGTAGACCGTCGGGTCGACCTCGCGCGGCAGCGCGCGCATGATCGTCAGCGTCGTCATGTCGAGCGTCACGCGCGTGCCGGGCTTGAGCTTCTCCTTGTCGAGCTTGTTGCGGCACCCGACGACGTAGCGCGGCCCGCTGCTCGCCTTGACGATGTAGCGCTCCTCGTCGAGGCGCCGGAGCACGTCGCCGATGATCTGGCCGACGCTCTGGAGCGCGTTCAGCGCGCCCTCCGTGTCGTTGAACTCCTTGATGAGGCCCTTGGCGTTGAGCCGCGCCTCCTTGAGCTTCGCCTCGATCTCCTTGTGCTCCCGGATCTTGCCGCGCAGGGCGTCGAGGGCCTGCAGCCGCTCGCGCGTCGCCTCGTCGACGACGGGCTCCTCGGCGGCCGCGGGCGCCTCGGCGGGCGCCTCGTCGGCCATGGCGGCGGCGCGGGCGGCGCGGGCGCCGAACGTACGCGCGGGCGGCCGCCGGACGAGCCCTGCGCTACGCGACTTCACGCGAGGCGCGTTCGATGAGCCAGCACCCTGCACACCGCGATTCGAGTCGAGCGGTCGAGGCTAGAGGTCAACATTGCAGGCGATGCTGCCCTTGCTCGGCGCTCTGCCGCGATGTCAAGGGCAGGCGAAAAAAGCAGCCAGCCGCCCGGGGTCGACCCAGCCAGCCAGCCAGGGACGTCCGGTCCACGAAACGACCCCTCGCTACAGCCTCTACAACGCGCGCCTACCGCGCGCGCGCGCAGCACGCGCGGCGCGGTCCACGCCGGTAGTCGCGTAGAGGCGGTCGGCCGGGGCGGTCGCCGGGGCGGGCGCCGGGGCGGGCGCCGGGGTGGACGCCGGGGCGGGCGCCGGGGCGGGCGCCGGGGCGGGCGCCGGGGCGGGCGCCAGGGCGGGCGCCAGGGCCTCGTCGAGGCGCGCGACTTGGCGTCGCGCTTTGTCGCCCGCGTCCGCGTCCGCGTCCCTGGCCCCGAGCGCCCGCTTCCGCGCCTGGCCGCCTTGGAGCGACGACGTGGCGAACGACTTCAGCCACTGGCACTCCAGCGGGTCGAGCTGGAGCTCCTTGACGAGGTCCGCCGGCATCGAGATCGTCGGGTGCACGCGGCGCCAGTGCGCCCGCATGCACTTGTACTTCCAGAAGAACTGCTTCGTCGCCGTCTTATTCCTCTTGCACTCCGGGCACTCGATGAGGTGGTTCGTGCAGGGCGCGTTCCACGTGCATTTGCTCGTCTTCGCGTTTTGTTGGTACGCGATCTTGCCCACGACCTTGCACTTCACGTACGGCTTCAGGGTCCTCTTCTTCTTCTCTAGCCAGGCCGGACAACCGGGGCAGGCCTCGTCGTCGACGACGTGCTGGGCCTGGGGCCGCGCCGCGCACAGGCCGCACGGCATCTCGTGGCCGATGTCGTCCTTCACCATGATGTGGTAGCCCGCATGCTGGAGCATCTTCCCGCGCGTGAAGACCTGGTTGCAGCCGGCGACGCCGCACACGATCTTCTCGTCCTTCTTGGAGTCCTGGCGCGTGCCGATGGACGTGGCCGCCTGCTGGGACCCGGCCGCGACGAAGAGCGGCACGTCGTCGGCGTCGAGGTACGGCACGACGCGCGACTTGGGCGTCGGCATGTCGATGTCGCCGCGGGCCTGGTACTGGACGTGGAGCAGCGTCTCGAGCTCCGCCACGCCGATCGAGAGCTTGAGCTTCAGGTCCCGCGGCTCGTCCGCGGCGGCCGCGTCTTCCGCCACGATCCCAGGGTTGAACGTGATCGCGCCCGCCGTGGAGACGTCCTTGAGCCGCTCGGCGAGGTCCACGCCGTGGTACCAGACCAGGGCATCGCCGGCGAGCTTGGGCTTGACGATGGAGCAGGTCATCTTGGAGCTCTTGTCGCAGAACGCGTCGCTCTTGATCACGGCCGACGACTTCGACGACGCGTAACTGAAGCTCTCAGGGTAGACGATGGCCCAGGTCGCGCCGGCGGGCGTGAGGACGAGCAGGAGGAAGTGGTCCTCGTGGGCGTGGTACGTGGTCGCCTCCGTGTCGTCCGTGGGCCCCGCGACCTCCCGCGTGCCCGATTTGGCGTCGCCGCGGACGCGAGCGATCCTCGACGATTCCGAGGTGGCGCCGCGGCCCTCGAGCCCGAACTTGAGCGCCGCGGAGAAGCTCAAATCCTTGAACTTGCCGTCGCCCACGGGCACCTTGATCCGGCGCACATCCTTCTCCAAAATTGCGGGCGCCGCGACCGCAGTCGCGAAGGCGTCCTCGACCTCGTGCTGCTCCTCCGCCGCCGCGGCGTCGACCTCCTCGTCGCCCTGCGGGAGCTCCTCGTCGTCGCACTCGCGGACGCCGACCCAGTCGCCCATGGGCCGGAGGAAGTCGACGTTCTCGTCCGTCGCGATCACGGCCCAGTCGACGTCCGTGTCGTCGTAGCCCGCGGCCTTGAGCCACGTCTCGGCCGTGCGGCGGCCCGCGAGGAACCGGCTCGTCAAGTGGACGCCATCGAGCAGGATCCTGTCCAGCACGCGGTCGCCGCTCGGGTTCGACAGGTACGTCCGCGGGTTCGTGTGATCGCACGGCCCCTCTTCCGTGGACGCCTCGCGATGCCGGGAGAGGCGCTTCAGATGCGGGTATTTTTCGAGGATCCCCAGCACCTGGCCCACGATGGCGATCTTCGTCTCCGCGGAGTACGCGTCGAGGTTCACGCCGGGGCCGCAGATCATCCGCAGGATGTTAAACACGTTCTCCAAGTCGTCGCCCGAGTCCTGGTAGAGGAAGTAGGCGGTCACATTCTCCTTGATGGCCGTGGCCACGCTCCACTGGAGCGAGCGCAGCATGGACTGCTGGTTCCGGTAGGTCTGGGCCGCTATGAACTTCGTCTTGTGGCGGCGGTACAACACGAAGGCGAGGTGCTGGAGCGTCGCCACGTTCTGCATGTTGTCCCCCAGCGACGGCTGCTTGTCCGCGACGAGCGTGACGTAGGTCGCGCAGTAGTGGCCCAGGAGCGTGAGGTCCGTTCGACACGACGTCACCAGACGTCGTACGTCTGCGCCAAATGTTCCCAGCTCCAACTCACTGATTCGTGCGATGGCGCGGAGGAGGTCGACCTTGGGCGGCACGCGCATGGCGTCGAAGGGGCCACAGGCGAACATGGAGTCGACCTGCCTCGCGTCGAACAAGCCGGACCCGACCAGAAGACGGCGGAGGAGCTCGCCCGTGAACGTGAAGGACGCGATGGTCATGCCCGTCGAGCTCTTGATGCGCTCGACGAAGCGCTTCATCGTGTGCTTGAGCTCGCAGCCCGCCGTGACCTATGCATGTTGAAGTTCAACACTGAGGCATCTTCAATTGAAGCTCAAGATCGACACAGGAACGCGCGCGCTCGTAGACGCCGTCGCCGGTCCAGAGCGGGAAGAGGGGGAGGCAGGACAACTGCGGGAACAAGGGGTGCGCCGCCGTCATCCTCTTGCAGAAGAACATCGCATGGCACGTCTTGACGAACGACGCTGCTCCGTCGGGCTGGACCGTCGTCAGCACGCCGCGCATCGCCTGGCCCCGCAGGTCCGAGACCCAGACCTCGATCGCCTGCTCGATGATCCTTCGCGTGCGCTCCGGGGGGTCGCCGTTCAGGCAGCCGGCGCTGAGCGCCACGATGTGCGGCTCGAGTTCAGCTCCCGATGGCGGCAT